GTAGAGACAGTAATACTATTGGGAAAGGGTAATCTATGTTGTTTTGCCAAAGGACAAATAATGCAATTGTGAAGATCTTTAGAACATTTACTAGGTGAAAGAGCTAGCAGATGAGCCAGAACAGTGGAAGAAGTGTGTCCTAGCCTTTGATGCCACAATAGAGCTTGTGATTCTGTGTAATGAACATCACCGTGAGCTAAGTGTGATGAGCAATGAACAATGTTGTTAATAGGAGAGGAGTTATTAGGCAGAAGATAGAGACCAGCATGCTCTTTACCAATCACCTTCACCTGCCCATTGGAGAGGTCCTGAAGAGCAACAAAGTTAGGAAAGAAGCATACTACACATTTAAGATCCTTAGTAATTTGTGAGACGGATAGTAAGTTGAACTTAAAGTCAGGAACAAGAAGAACATTTCTTAGCATGTCCTGAGGAGTGACATTACAGGAACCTATATGTGTGATTTGAGTTGTTTTACCATTGGGCAATTGAACACTTCTAGGTTGATCACTAGGAAGTTGTTGTTTATGAGTAAGAATATTTGAGTGTGGAGTCATATGATTGGTTGCACCAGAATCTATGATCCAACCAGTATGGGCTGGACTGACAGTGAGAGCAGTTGCATTACCTGCTGAAGTACCTGCTGAGGAGTAATTGTCCTGAGCTATGTTGGCACTGAAATGTGATGTGGATGCTGCTGCTTCAGAGCCTCCCTGCATATTAGACTGACCAAGCATCTGTAGGATCTGATTATACTGTTCATGTAACACAGTCATACCTTTGTGATAGTCAACTTGTTCAGTGTTTTTAGAACCTCTTCCATATCCCTGATTCCTTGGATTCACACTTCTGTTAACATCTATATCACCATAACTGATTGCATTGTGAGCAGCAAAATTTTGCCTCCTATCATTATTAGACCTTCCTCTCCCTTGATACTCATTATTAGGCCTTCCTCTCCCCTGATACTCATTATTAGTCCTTCCTCTCCCCTGGTAAGTATTATTAGGACTTTTCTTCCTCCTTTCAAATCCTGGGGGATAACCATGAAGCTGATAGCAAATTGCTTGGGTGTGTCCTGTTCTGTGGCAATAATCACAAAATGCATTGGGATCATAGCTAGAACTAGTGTAAGGCCTTGGTCTAGGTACCATAGCAGAAGTATTGTTCCCAGTAGTGAACATGGCACTCAACTCAGAACAATTAGCACTACTGGAGGTTTGAGAAATAGTTCTCTGACTTTCTCTCTCAATTAAAAGGGTATAGGTCTTGTTCAAGGAAGGTAGAGGTACCATCATTAGGATCTGTCCCCTAGCTTGTTCATATGAGTCATTCAGACCCATGAGGAACTGAAGTAACTTCTGATTATGCACAAATTTCACAAACTCTCTTGAATTTACACACTCACAACTTGGTACAGGAGTTAGACTATCATATTCTACCCACAGTTCACGCAATCTAGAGAAATATGCTGAGATTGAACTAGTACCTTGACTGACAGTAGCAATCTCCTTGTGCAGTTGAAAGATGCGAGATCCATCGACTTTATCATATCGTTCAGCCAGATCCTTCCATACAGATGCAGCATTTGTGGAGTAGACAATACCTCCAAGTAATTCTTTTGAAACACAGTTCATAATCCATGACAATACTATTGCATTGCATCGTTCCCATAAATTCACCAGATTTGGACCATATGCCTCCTTTTTGCATGAACCATCGATGAACCCAAGCTTATTACGACCTAGAATTGCAATCTTCAATGCTCTACTCCATACAGAAAAATTATCGGCTCCAGTCAATTGAATTGAACTGAGCAGTACACCAGAATTGTCAATGGTGTGTAGAAAAAGGGGATGATTGTGGCTTAACTTTTCTGGCAACTCATTATCGACAGTCGCCATAGCTTCACCTGTTACTTGTGTAGTTGAATCAGTGATTTGATCAACCATTTACTGTGAAGATTGATCAATGCTCTGATACCATGTTAGCTATCATGGAGAAGATAGCTTCTGAGTTTACAGAGAAAGGAATTCAGAAGTATTAAATTTCAAAGTGAACTTTATTAATTTCATAACTGAACAAGATCAGTACATTTATATACAGGAAAAGGAAAGAATCTTTTGTAACTACTTTAACTAACTATTTTCTATCTAATCCTCTAACTTCTATTATTTACATAATGACTCTCAGCTTACTATGTAATACCATCTTTAATAGGGATGCCTCAGAGGAATCCTTTCCCCTGCTTGATACACTTGTTATAAAATGGTGTGACAAGCTCGAGGAGATCCCCCTTAGCTTTGCAGATATAAATAGATTAAGTTTACTAGGTGCAAGAACAAATCTCTGGAGGCTTCAGCTGTGAGGTTTAAGCAAGAAGTCGAAGAGAATGAAGAAAACGACTGTATAGACCTCATCACTATCTAAGTAAGTAGAAACAATCTCCTCTGTGCTGATTGAGTATCTACCTGTATCTAACTTGATAGAAATATGTATAATCTTCTTGTTCCTTTTTCTAATTTGATGCTTGCTTTTGCTTAATTGCTCCATGTTGATTTCAAATTGCAGCAAAAGCACAGACAAAGAGAATGGAATTCTTTCTTAGCTAATTGTTGCAACCATGCTCATGCTCAAGTATATTGTGCGCCTAGAGCCGAATCGCCTGTCCTTTTTCTGTATGTTTTAGGTGATTGATGACCAATATATATCAGATGGTCTTTCACTATGATTTCTTGTTGTAAAATCATGCCTTTGTTATGCAGCTTTATTATTTTACAACATTGTTTCTTGTTTGTTTTTTCGTAATTTAGTAGTTGTTTCCCTTCATCTTACACCTTCTATTTATGCAGCACTTGCAAAATTCAACTAAGGATACAATTGAAAGCTGGTTGAATACAAGTATACCTCCTTATCATCAATCAATTAGAATATTGAAAGATGAGTATTCACTGATATGTATGAGTGCATGTATAAAAGCCATCTATGTTGTTCGAACTCTTCAAAAATGTTGTCCCTTCCGTGTTGGATTTCACATAGTGCATTTTTGGAAGATCAGACATGGGTGGAACAATATATTTGGGGAGTTTGAGCATCATAGGAAGCTAGATAGATACCATCTCTCAAACTCATAATCAGCTTCCCAGGAGGACAATGGCGGAGTCCCTGAATTTTATCCAAGTTGACGACATGTACACTTGTCTCTTACCTTTGACAACCTCAACAGAGGCATAAAACTCGAGATCTTTCAAGTTCCATAGTCAATTTTCCACTCGCTTTGTCTTGTGTGTTCCCATGACAGGCGTATGCAGGAGGAGGTCACCGGGTTCACGTGAACCCATGCTGCCCTCCTGAAATCATATATATATATATATATATATATATATATATTCAAATATAGATGTATGAACCCATGCTAGACGTATGAAATAATGCAATGATGTTGGGTGGTTAGAAATTTGAAACTTGCATCTATCTTGTTGTATTTTTCTTTCTAAAATTAGGTAACACGTCTCTAAGTAGTGATTGGTAGCACTTTATATATATAGTTTTAATCTTTCAAAATTTTCAAGTTTGTCAACATTGAAAATTCCTAATTTTCTTTAGCACTGTAATTTATTTATATTATTAAACCAAATGTGCATATTAAAACTAGAAATACAGGATGATATAACATACAATCAATGGTTCAATCGATCTCAATGCCTCCAGCGCGAAATATATATCGTAATAGTGCACTCATCATGTCAAAATCCTGAATACGCCTCTATCCATGTGCCAGTGCTACTAACTCTTCAGGATACCTTTGGATGTTATAGCTGCCAAAAACTCTGTTAGTCGTTGTCTCATAACTGAGGCTGTCTCTTTAACATGACAAGTTAGAGTTGCAAAATTAACACAACTACAAAAGTTTTTTCTTGTTGAATATAAGTACACCTCCCGGTCACCAACCAACAAATTTACAATTTTTTGCAGCATAGAAAACTAAGGCGATTTGGAAGTAGTTTCGATAGAGTCTTAGATTTAAGCTCATCGACATATATAATACTTCACCGTGCACTTAAAATTTTGAGGTTTGTTATAGTCGAATTATTGTATTTTATGGCAGCTATTGAAATATTCTTTTTTCACTACTGCCCCACGTATTGTCCTTTTTCTTCTTTCATTTGCTTGACAGTAGGAGACTAGACTGTGTTACGATCCAAATTCCTTAAAAAAAACATAACAGATGTTCACACTTATCCTTTGCGCTACCAAATATATGTGTTTTTGACCATCAACTCCAAACATACTGTTCCCTTAGTTTTAGCAATGGCATCTTCACATTCTTTACTAGATTTACACGTGTCTTAAATTTTTTGAATATCTTTCTATATTCTAATTTAATCAGACATCGGTCGGGCCCATGGAAAAGACTTGAGGTAAAAAAAAAAAAAAGTGTATTCGTAAAGTTGATAGTGCGTTTTCACCTTTTCCCTTAGTGCTCTCTGCTTTCTCCTTTTCTCTGTAATAATAATGAAAGATCAGCAAAATGGATCGAGCTCTATATGTTTTATGAATAGTTAGATTGAATAAAAACTTCGTTGTTTAAACGGTTGTTGAACTACTGAAAAAATAAGGGAATAAGGTCATTTGAGATGTCAATCCATTTTAACCAAAAACATCATGTCCCATCATAAAATTCCTTTATATGCTAAGCAAATGTCAAAGAAGAATATAGTTTAAGTATAAAACTAGCAAATCCGATATAATTTTAGGGGATTTTATGAGTGTATTTTCCAAAAGAAAAAAGACAAATAACATAGTTGGTATTATTGAGCCACTTTACAGCTACCACCTAAAGCAACTTACTACTCCAATTCAACTCTAGTTAGATTACTAGAGATAGAGATTCTTCCTTCTTCTTTCAACATTCAAACCTTCATCTATTTCATTTCCATAAACTTTTTTCTAATTTCACCTATTACATAAACTTTTTTTTTTTTTTTTTGGGATGAAATCTGCTTTCAATTTTAATTATGATTGAATCAGGAAATTGAAGATACTAAACAGGCGTAAGAAAATTACAAGTTGGTTTCACTTGTTAACTAACTGTAAGTCATCTTCTTCATGAATTACTTTTTTCCCTATTGATTATTATATCAAAAAGTCACTTTCTTTTGTTGAAGAAAATTGAAATTAAGAAAAAAAGTTTGCAATAATAATTAATAATTCAGTGACCTTATGAAAAGGGTAAGTATGCAAAATTTGTTAGACTAAATGGTACATAAGATGTATAATCATTCACAAGCAATAAGATAGCTTCAAAAGACATGATGAATAAAAATGTTGCTCTTAATGAAACTAATTCCAAGAGTTGGTGTATTTTTCTGTTGCTTTCAATGCAAATGGCTCGGCAGGAGCAAGTACTTCCAGGTCTACTAGGCAAAATTATTCTTCTACAAACAACACCAACACCAATTTTAGAACTAACTATTCTCAGACCAATTCCTACATTGGTAACAGGACTCGTATTATATGTGATTACTGCAAGAGACCAGGACACATCAGGGACAAATGCTATAAGTTGCATGGTTACCCACAGACAAATAACAACCCACAAACAAACAATTATCCAAATTTTAACAATCAGAATGGATACAGAGACAGAAGCAACAATCAGAATTCCAGGTTCAACAGGGGTAAGAGTCTTATGGCTGATGTTCAAAGTGGTTGTTGTTCAGGGGAAGAGGTGCACAGGGGAAATCATAATGACACCGGTCCCCAATTGACAAGAGAACAATATACACAATTTGTGGAGCTATTACAACAGTTTCAGACTGAGAAAGACAATGCCAATCAGATGGACTTTGCTGGTGGTAATGCAAATTTCGCAGGTATGATAGCATGTACTTCTTCAATTGATTTTGGCAAGTTATCTTGCAGATGTTCTCACAACAAGAATGACTCTTGGATCCTTGACTCAGGAGCCTCCAATCATATGACTTTTGACATAACATTCCTAACAAACATTACTTATCTCCCTTGCCCTTTATTGATTACTTTACCAAATGGTTACAAGGTGAAAGTTGTGCAAATTGGTAATGTGGTACTTGCATCAAACATTGTTTTACAAGAAGTGTTGTATGTGCCTTCTTTTAAGTACAATCTTGTTTCCATTAATTGTCTTTCAAAATCCATACCTAAAAGCATTGTGCATTTTTCTGAATCCTCATGCATTCTGCAGGCCCCTTCAATGAAGAGGCCTCTGGTCATTGGTGAAGCAAAAGATGGACTATATTTTCTATGTTCTAAGTGTCCTGGTGCTTCATGTGCTGCTTCAACTACTTCCACTACTGGCTGCCTGTCAAGTCAAGATGTTTTCAATTCTAAGTTTGTTTCTGTCCCTACTTCTTCATGTAGACACAGTACATGTGATTCTAAGTCCAAGTCTGTTTCATTTCCTGCTTCTTCATGTACCTGTACTCAACACTGTGTTTTAGTCAATAAAAGTCCTAATATTTCTGCTTCTTTTCTGACTCATGCTTGCAATGATGTGAATGTGTTGTGGCATAATAGACTTGGACATGTACCTTTTGTGAAAATGAGAGAAATTAAGTCCATACCTGAGAATTTTTCTGCCAAACAACCTTTCCTTTGTAATTTTATGTAATTTTCATATATATTACTCGGTCCTGATTTATGTGATACAAATGAAATTTCAAAAGTCAATGAATTTTTTATAAGTTTTTTTTTATATTAACTTGTTAATTATTGTGATTTCTAATATATTTACGTAAAACATACTCTAAATACAAATAATTAGCAACTTAAAATATATAAAAACATACTAAAAAATTGATTAATTTCAAATTTCATATGTACCACATAAATAAAAACAGAAACAGTAACATATATTGGGCCCCGTGCTGGCACGAGGTCTCATAGCTAGTATATATATATATATAGCACCCAATTTTCCTATATATCTTCCATTAGTCAAATACTAAAAATGAGATAAATATTACTCCATAGCAATACTTTTATAAAAAGTAGAAGTTATATTATTGGTCCCCTACCGTAGTTATGTATATTCAAAACAATTAATTAGACGCATGCAACCTGTGACCAAAGCTAGAAATATGGAATAATTAAGCTGATTTTGGGGTCATCCTAGCTACTAATTTTTATCCAAAACGAACTTCAACGCTTCGTCATCTAGAAATTCCGAATATGTGATTATCAACCTTTCAATTTTAAAGAAAGAAAAGATTCCTCACGGTCCTTATTTAATAACCTCTCTATATATTCCAATCATGTAGCTTGTTCGTTTGTGTATATATATATATATATAGTACTCTTTCTTTCTAGTTCGTGACTTGCATGATTTTTTATTTATTTTTAATTCTTAAATATTTATATGATTATAAATTATTTTTATTAATTGGAAGAGAAAAAAAAATGGGTTTTTTAAGAGGTAGCTAGAGATAGAGAAACGGAGAGGAGAAATTAAAGCGGCAAGTCTCTATCGGGAGTCCACCTCCGTGGCTTAATAACAGTGTTACGTGTCCTCCAAGCTTCTCTCAATTTGACATGGATGCAAAGCACTAGGTCCCACCCTCTTCTCCTTCTTTTTATTATTATTATTCCTATTTGCTTCCCTACATAGAAGATATTAGTATGACCATGCATGGTTGGCAATTTATATATCTTAAAATTACTACTCCTTGTCAATTAATTAACTCTGTCTTGTAATCTAGCTACGGTCAAACGGTTCAGTTGCACGTGCACTAGCTGTAGCGTTTAAATTTTTTTTCCATTCAGGTCAAAACCCGTTTGCCGCCTCATCGACGTGTCTCTTTCAACATTCAACAAAGCTATTGAGGCCTGAGGATCTTGTTTTTGCCATTTATTCAACAGAGCTATTGAGGCCTGAGGATCCTTTTTTTGCCATTTAACGTTAATGGAGTAATATACCCAAGTTCTAGCTATAGCTAGTCAATATATCCACTAAAAATATCGTATTTTCAAACACATCATAAACTACGTATACCATTTTCTTCCCCTCTCCTTGTTTAATTACACAGCTTGCATTGTAAGTAAATTAACATATACAAAAGTATTCATTAAAACATAAATATCGATCTAGCATAGTACTACTCTCCTACCTAATGCACATGTTTTGTATGTATATACTATAGTGTAATTAGGAACTATATATATGTGTGACGACGGAACCGTATTGTTGTAATTTGATGAGCCGACCTTAATGAATTATCAAAAAGGGGCACGATGTGGAATGCCTTTCCTCCTGTTTGAATTGTTGTGGTATGTATCAGGAGACATATTGTATGCCTCAATATTCAGATGACGAAACCCAAACGTTACTTTCTCGTCCCTGCGCTGCTTCTTCTTTGGGGTCGATGATTCATCATCCCAATATTCATTCGTCTCCGCCTTCAATGTAAATGTCAACTCTTCATCGCCTCGCCTAATACCATTCAGCTGCAATTCCAATTTACCCATTCTTAATTAATCAATCAATATGGTCGTATAAACTGAACATACTTGGAAAACAAAGTGAAACAGAGATACCATATATAGTTGCTTCGGTTTAACCAAAATTGCATATTTAATTCTAATTTCTATATATCCAAAAGAGAATACATACTTACGTACCTTGCAGCCGAGGGAGCAGAATCTGAAAGTGTCAAGTAGGCTGCGGCAGCAGATTTCACAAGTATTGGTAACCCCCTTTCCTGGTCTGGGCTGGGGACGCTCATTCAGAAACACAATCTTGGCGCTATTGATAATGTATGTTTGAATGCAAGATATGTCTAGGTATCTTTGAATTTCATTCACCCTCACCACATTATGGTATGAGGATCTTCTTATCTATACATATAATAAAAACAGAGGCAGACACATATATTATATTTATGGCTGATCATGACACACATATATATATATATATATATATATACTGAATTAGAGCATGTAATATAACTGACTTGTACAAGGCGATGGTGTTTGTGATTGGTCAAACAGTAAGAGCAAAGAGCATTACTTCCCATGCAATCCAAACAATACATGTTGCATTCGCTCTTATTTGAATCACCGTGAATTGTGCAAGTATGGAAGTAGTTAGCCTTGAGCAGCGGCTTCAACCATGCCGGCCCAATTTCATCCTGACTCACCTATATATTAATTCAAACACAGCGAGCCCATTAATTTAATATGTATATATACATATATATATATATATATAAACACACAATTATCTAATTTGTGGGGTTGAAAATGAAGATTACCATTATCTTACGAGTGCTAGTGATATATTCTGCAAGAGAGACTTAGTTAGAAGAAAGATATAAGGAAATATCGGAAGAAGAAAAGTAGAAGAAAGAATCAGGAAATGAAAGGTAGAGGGTGAAGTGACAACTACTTACAAGGAAAGTGACTCACATATCTAAGGCGGTCACGTTTTATTAATTCAGCACACAAAAATTAAAAGGATAATCATCCTCTCACTCATAACAAAATAATAATAATAATAATAATAATAGTAATAAAAGGAAGAGGAAGATAAACATATATTGCTCCCTCTCGTATATAAGAGTAAGTAAATGCTTTGTTCCTTTACTCTATATTCCTATGACTTAACAAACTTCATTTTTTTTTCTCTTTTAAGTCTTAACTTGTGCAAATAGAAAGATCGATAGATACCCCATCCCAGCTGCTTTCATATATTCTAAGAATAATATTTGCAATCCAACGTCAATTATGTGTCAACAAATATTAAAGTATTTTAAAAAATTGGTTCATACTTGAGATTGAATAATTTAGGATTTGTTTTTTCTTCCAACCACAAAAAATGGATAAATCATTGCGTTTGAATAGTTGGGCAGCAGAAGACGTCCAACACAACAGTGGATCCAATCCAAACCCCTTTTGGGCTTTAAGTAAATGGAATGGGCTTTGTTCTCTTTCACTATTCCACCGCCCATCTCATATTACACCCCATTCATTTTTGATGGTTTAGACTGCATATTTTTTCTTTCTAGCTTTTGTGAATCTAACCCCATTTCATGGGTCACTATGGCAAAGCTCACTTTAACTAGTCTGTCCCTCAATAATTCGCCCAACTTGCTATGGGTAAGATATACCCCAATTCATCCATTGGAAGAGATATAATAATAATAATAATAATAATAATAATAATGTCCAGAATACAATTAAATTATGAAATTTTAAAAATCAAATCTTATTTCTACCCATTATGAAAACAATTAAACGATAGTAGTATCATTTTAAGTGGAAGGTACTAGAGAACTAATCATGCAAAAGGCAAGAGATAAGACATGTGCGCCTTCATCATTTGTTGGACGCATATAATTATTATTACTAGTACCTATATTAAAAAGGAGCAAATTGCACCGTTGGCTAGCAGTTGTACATTGTTAATGTTGCAATATATTTATATCCACGTCAATAGAAATAATACTCCCTTTATTGCTAACAGACAAAAGATCAACTGGTGAGAGTTTTTAAAAAATGTCTAGTCACAATCTGCTTCTTAAATGAGTGAAAGACAACCACTAAACTCTAGAGTAACAAATGAAAAGCAGGAGTTGGAATGAACATGAAAAGGAAAGAAGTGAATTGTAGTCATAAAAGAAAATGTAACGATTACCATTTACAGACAAATCCTGGTGGGGAGTGGGGACCCTCATCTCTCTCTTTTCCCAAATCAACCAATAAACCTAACTTGGCAATTTGTGGATACAAATGAATGACTTGATATTAATAACCAAATCGAGCCAGCAGAAGTAAAGTGTGGTGACCCTGCAGGAGTTGGACGTGTTGCTTTAATTTGCTGCCAAGAATTAAGAGTAGGGCACACTATAAATTAAAGATGAACACTACTACTAAAACACTTGTTCACCAGTTCCTTCTCTTCACTGTGGTGACTGGTGAATAAAATTCTCGGTAGAATACTGTACACTGATCCTATGAGTTGTTGGTATGGTCGGGAGCTGCATTGATAGTATTTCGCTCAAAATCCTTGATGGTTTGGGTGAGTTTCTTCATGTTGTCATCGTATTCGTAGGGTACCTTATCGAACCAGGTTATGTTATGCTTAGCGGATATGGGTAAAAACTCACGACACAGCTCCTCATGTACCGTGATGGAGTTGTGATAGTGATAGTAGCGGATCTTGGTTTCTGTCTGGTGCAAAGTCCCTCCTACTACATTTTCCGACATGTGTACGCCTGTTGCATATGCATTTTTTGCCTGTATGGCGTACTTCCGATCTCTCCTAATGTTACTTCTCGAGTCTCTGAACAACAACTTCTCAAAGCCCCACAGCCTGTAATTAATAACAAATGGAGAGAGTATGAAAGGAAGATGTAAAAAGATTTTCATTTCATTGCTGATTTGATGGTCAGTACCTAAAAACTTCACAACAACATAACCGGGAGTTTGGATGTACGCAAACCTTATCTCTACCTTTGTCCATCCTAAACCGTCACTAACATGTCTTATATATACTAGTGTGAACGATGCTAGGGCATCTTTGACTGCATTCTTTGTAAATACAAACACAACATGCATTGGAAATTGAAGGAAAGCTTCAGAAACTTGTACATTCGTCCTTAACGTTAAAGAGAAGCTCAAATTCAACAGAACAGGCATTGATGGTACGGAACTTAGATCAGCAACCCCTAAATGCCTCTCAAGTATCAACTACTAATAAGACAATAGGTATTAAAAGATCAATCAATCAAGTTTTAGTTAATAAATAAATGAATGCCTCGTATAAGAGAGAAAATTAATGACAAAAAAATTGTTAAGATGAATGCCTTTATCTTTATCAAATTAATGATGAGGCAGTTATTAGTTAACAAGAAGAGCAGTGAAAACAATTAATCAGTACAAGTAGAGAAATTACGGAGATACTACCTGGAATAGTTTTGAGAGGAATCGTTCAAGCAGAGGATGCTGGACATGGCATTTTGCTCAATGGTGAACTGAGTATTGTTGGAGAAGTCTCTTAACACAGATTCGAGAGTAGTGTTGGCATCAGGAAGATAGATGTACTCGTCCACATCAAAGTAGAAGGTCCAATTGGCAGCGTGTCGGTAGCGATGGAGGCAATCATTCACCACCAAAAACTGGTTGTAATAGTAGCCATCGAACTCGGACTGGTCCCTTATATCCTGAAGCGTGACCTTACCAGTCTGTACCCACGGCTCCAGCACCGCCCTTACCTCAGATGACACCCCGCCAGCGTCGTGAAACACGAAATGGGAGCTGGGCCCGAAAAACCAGGCGTGATAGGCCATCCACTCCCTCATCCTAGAGGCACTCAAATTCCCATACAAGGAAGAACCGCAATACAAATACTCGTAGGGATATGGCGGGCTGAACTTGGTCTGGTTGTAAGACCCTGGTGCTTCCTCCAATGCTGTGATTTTCTCGTATCTCTTGGGTGACTCACTATAGTAAGCGTAGAGAATGAGCTTCCCTCCCTTATTATCAAGGTTAGGATTCACAGCAAATGTGCAGTTCACAACCACCACAGTGTAGACACGTCCGTAGCCCCAGTCAGGGAGGATCTTATAGGCCTTGGCCTTGAGGTCCTTAGAGGAGTTGGTATTGGTATTGGGGATCCACTGGCATTTATACCAGGGGCGTCCAAAGACGTGAAGGGGCTTGGAAGCGAGACCCACGACGGCGAAAGTAGTGGGACCACCGCGATACGCTCCCATCTGGACGAAGAGAGAGGCGGCATTGCCGTAGGTAAGGAAGGTTCGTTTGTTAGGGTCGGTAATATTAATGGAGAGTTTAGACGGATTAAGGATGGTATCGTAGTAAGGTTGGAGATTCCAAATGAGCATGACAAGAGTGAAGGCGAGCAATGTCGCTACCAATGGCCTCGTGTCCAACATTTTTCCGCCTGTATTACTTGGATTTTTAGCCATTGGGTAGCTGAAAACAGAGTGAAGAGACACCAAGACAAGACTCTGTGGACCGACACTTAATTGAGACTCTGAGTTGTCGCCCGTCAATGCAATCAAATTTCTCCTTCTCCTACAACAACGCACTTGGATCTTTTCTTTATTACCAATATTGCCATCATCATCTTTTACCAACCGTAAAATATTACAGTAGCGTGATTCTAAAGAGATAAATCTATGTTATTGAATCAATTTTCACTTTTCAGTCACTACATCAAACAGGTTATCTTCTTCGCCTGCTCCCTTAATTTTAGTTTTTGTGTTGGATTTTAATTATTATTTTCTGTCAATAAAATGTATTCAATCTGCATGTGTTATAAATTGAAGAATATAGTTTTGCCAAAAGAAAAATCAGTTAGGAGCATTCTAGAGCGTGATGATCTCCCTAAAAAATTTAAATAGGATTCTGATTGACCACAAAAGTTGAGGAAGATGTAGATGACGAGACATTAGAATTCTCCTGAGAGGTTAGGGAACAAATGATGCGTTTTACTTATTACGGAAACAAATTTTCTGTTTGCCTAATCCAGGGGAAAAGACGGAAATTATGGATTGACCCCTAACTCTAGTTTAAAACATTTAATTTAATAGGGGATGTTTTCCTTGTCAAACTAGGTTTTTAAGAACAAATGTCCACATTTCTTCTTCTTCTATTACTATTACAATTAAAAAAATAATTACAATAATATTTTAGACTTGGTACTAAATTAGTGTCACGTCAAAATAAGGCATTAACGAGAAATAGAGAATGAAAATAGTACTATTAATACGTAACCAAGGTGGGAAGGAGGAAGAAGCAAAAGATCAATATTCAAGTTCCTGATCCTTACAGTAACGTTGTGCATATATATTGATAGTAACAAGATATAGTTAAATATCTTAGTTTTTTTTTTTGAGACAATAGTTAAATGTCTTAGTTACTTGAACCAAATAAACTATAACTTAAAGGGAAATGAATTAAAAAAAAACTACGGATACGCTGTAGTAGTTAAATATCCACAATTGGAATTAGCAATAATTGGGTATCATTAAGGAACACAAAGTCCAACCAACTACAGTAAATCATTAATCATATAGAATTATAGATTCGACAGCAGAGAAGGGGAATGCTCAACATCTACCATCATCTACAGTAGTAGTATTTAGCTTTTATGCAAATTGGAATAGGATAAAGATCTTCATGTTTAATTTACAATCTACACGAAGTCACTTATTGAATGTGGCAAACTCTTTTTTTTTTCTTTTTTTTTATAAATAATTGTGGTGTCCAAGCTAGCTTGCACACACTTGGACAACATATTTTGTCACCTCCTACTAGTAATGGATATCAAGTAACTTTGTCCATCAAGGTTAGAACAAATGGAAAGCAATCACCTAGTGTTTGCCTCCGCTGGAATCCAAATTTGAAACCTCAGGGTGCTTAACCCAACCCACTTTATTAACCATTGAGGCACAACCTTGGGTTGAATATGGCAAACTCTTCTAAGCAATTTCCAAAAAGAAAAATAAGATTGTGGGCATGTTAACATTTTCTACGCCTCTACTTTATACCGGAATAAGTATCTTCCCAGAAAGGGATTTTGATTCGTGCCATGGCTTTTATTGTCTATTGGGGTGTAGTAAAAAAGAGAGAAAAGGGAAAAAAGAAGACAGACTTGGTTGGAAAATACTGCTCCTTGTTATTGCAGAGAATAAAAGGTACCAAGGAGAGGGGCCTCATTCTCCCTCAAAAATCAAACTTGTCCACTAGCAAAGAAATCCTTAAAAGCTAATCTTTGACTTTATCGAGCAAATACAATTGCTTTGTGGGTTTCATTGATAAATCAATCAATAGTTAGTTATGCCTCAATTCCAGATTAGTTGTATCAACAACTTTATGATTCATCTATATATCTATTCATTCAAAAGATTCGATGTAATTAGATTATTTTTACATTATCAATCAACCTACTGTTTCCGTGATTAATTTAACTTGATAATTTAGATTAAATTCTCTGTAGCCACGCATCCAAAGCAAGCATAAATATATGAGCTACCTCACACTCAACTCAATAAGGTTCTTCAGACTCTCTTTTGGAACCAAACTAAAACATGATGAACAGCACCAGCATAAAACCCCTCAGGAGATCAGGGACATCTATAGTAGCAATGAAAAGATTGAACAATACCTCATCGTTCCCGTTGGCACAAGCTCCACTCTCAGCTGTCTCTGCTCTTTCCTCAGCCGCAAAGACCAAGGGTGGTAACCAGCCATCTCCCACTCCAAACTACATAGAGTTCCCAACATCGCCCCAGCCACCTGATGATCACACCGGGTATCATGCTAATCACAATGGAACCATTGTTCATCATACTCACTCAAAGCACCCGCTTGCAGAGATCACTCTCTCAGAACTATTTACCTGCTCAGGTTGCAAAGAGTTTGGCACTGGCCGTAGGTATGCATGCCAAGACTGTGGTTTTCAGCTTCATCACTTCTGTGCCTTATCTCCGCCCTCTCTTAAGGCTCATCCTTTCCATGGACAGCACCAACTTGTCTTCCATGCTAAACCTAAACAAGGTACACATGATTCCTACACAAAGTGGTACATTTTTTGGTAAGATATATGCTTCTACAAGCTTAAATGCATACATATGTTGTCTGGCATAAGTTCTGTGATCTGTATTTCCCATCTCCAGAATTTTCACATGTTCTTTTCCTAAACAAATCAGTTAAAGCCGGAATAGCGTGGCCAAGGTGTGATGTCTGCTGCAAGTCCACCAAAGGATTCACATTTAGATGCAGAGTCAACTCCTGTAATTTCCAGATGCATCCTTGTTGTGCCATGCTTTCCACCGAGATTAAATTTCCCAATCATCCGCACCTACTAAAAGTCTTACCCCCAGGAAACACTTTACCAGGTGGTGCTGGTGGTGGTAATGATCAACCAGGAATGGTATGCAGTGAGTGCAAGAAGAAAAGGTCATCAGGTCGAGTGTACAGCTGCACAGTCTGTGGCTACCATCTTCATGCACTGTGTGCTAAGTCCATGATCAATGGCCTCCAAGAATATGGAATCAAGCCTCCTGAAAAGCCCAATATGCTTGGGACTGCTGCTCGTCTTGCATCTCAGGTTGTTATTGAATTTATTGGTGGTCTTATTGAAGGATTTGGAGAAGGGGTCGGAGAGGTTCTGGTTCAGAATATTGGGAGAGGAAGAGGAAGCACTAACAGAAGAAGAATTGCATGAAGCAGACCTCAATGCACAGGGAGCACCATTCCCTCCCAATTAATATTTCCAAACCCACCTTCCACTCCATTTTTTTTCACTAAAGAAAGTGAAACAAAATGCAAATTAAATATTCCTTATTATTATTCTTAAAGGACATGAGAATTTCTTTGTTAAATTGTTTAATATGATAACTTCCTGAAGCTTTTATGATGCATAATGAATAAATTTCCAGATATAACAAAAAGGATGCGTGTCACACAATAAATAACAAGTAACATACTTGCTTCCTTATTATTTACATCCCATCATAAACGGAAGTTTAAACAATAACAATAGTCATTTTACATCCCATTATAAACAAGACCATATAAGGTTCATTGTCATTGGTATGGACAACCTCAAATACTCTTCTGGGCACAACATGTCTTCACCTTTTCTAGGTATGACATTATTTTCAGAAGACTTTCATATGAATTAGGAGTTCACATATTACAGCCTTAAAGATAAAGAAGACAGAACAATTATACCTGGGAGGCTTAAACCCCATTGTCAACTTTGGATAAGTGAATTCTCTTACAGAGACTTTAGAATGGAGAGCAAGTTATTGTGGAATGGATCTGAGATATGCTCCAGAAGGTTTTGCACAGGGCCTTTACCTGTAAGAGCGGCTTGGACATAAAAGCCTAACCAGGCAACCATAGCAAGGCGCCCATTTTTTATTTCTTTCACCTTTAGCTCTTCAAAAGCCATTGGATCTTTAGAGAGATTCAGTGGATCAAAAAGAACACCTCCAGGATAATTGATGTCACCAGGCAAGTAAAGTCCTAATGGTTCCAAAGCCTCAATCCCACAATACCTTGCATATTCTGGTCCAACCTATGCACAGAAAAGTATGAAAGAACAGTTAATTGCAAGAACAGAAGAAATCAAGTAAAATTCCCTCATTGTTCATGTGAAAAAAGCCATTTCCAAAGTCAAGTTCCAACTAGATGGTGGTTTCTTTTGTGTAGAAATGGCCAAATTATATACTACAGTTACAGAATTTACTGTCCTATTTCTTCTCTAGGCATGGGATTATCTCTATGAGAATTGTTTCAACATGTTCACCAGCTATAGCACACAAGCAATTATTCAATATGTCATTAGGCACTAGGATTTTAAGAGGAATAAGTAGCAAACTGTCCCTTGAATGCAAAAACAGACATTTATTCGAACTTAAGATCAACATTTGCACTCTATCCCAATGGACCATTAAAAGTTTTTCAACAAAATCATCACTCTCAAATGCATTGCTCGATCGGCACAGTTAAATTATTATGACAAAAATGGCAGAAGGAAGCAGCCATCTATTGATCATATCCAACCAATCAAGCATCAGCTGTATGGACACATTTGAACACAAAGCTACATTGTACTTCTTTTCTAGAAAGGGATTGATCTATAGAGTCACTATCTTAATCTTGGAGAACTGTATCTTGAGCTAAAAGCATTACTTCAGCTCATAGATTCACTGTACTTGCAACCATCTCCATGACTGCAAAATGCCTACCTTGTCACACAATGAGTGTATTGCAAGAGATAAAATGCACCTTTTACAAGAAGAATTCAAATAACCAGAAAGTGTTTCACACTCAACACATTCGGCATTGAAATAATTACTGGAAGGATACACATAGAGCAAGTGTTTACACTCACCATCAAAAGGACTTGGCAAATGGCTATGACAATGACTCCTTGACTTCCAGCTAAATGGAGTCCAGGGATCCCTAAATAGTCAAGTGTATCTCCCTTGAAAAAATGAACGAAATAAATAAGATAAAAAAAAGACACCTGCAATAAGCGCTGGATACTGAATTCATAAGGTCATTAGGATGTCAATAATCAAGTGGAACAACACTCTGATAAGAATATGAAATAGGTGGGTGATAGTGATACAAATTAATTATTGAAAGGAATACTTGCATGTTAAACACTGGATTCCAAGAATGAAATCTCATAAGAAAATCATATCAGAATTTAAAAATTGAAATTTTGTACGACAATTTTTGTAAAATCAATCCAAATTATGTTTACTCGGAAACCTGAGAACAAGGAAGCAACAACAACAAACCCAGTGTAATCCCACAAGTGAAGTCTTGGGAGGGTAGGATTTACACAGAACAAGGAAGTGTTGGATAATAACTTTGCCAAGAAATAGAATTCTAGTGGATGTTTGGCTCATCATAAAACAAATCCATTTTGTACAAATAGTTGGAAGATATCAAGTTACTTTTGGAGTATTTTACTATAGTTATTTATCTTACTTGTAGCATTATCAACTCATCCGATTCTCACCTACTTGCACATTCGACATGAGTTGCTTGGGTCGACAGACAAGGTTCCGCTGAGTCGATAACTGGAGAGGTGAGATTGGAGGAAAGAACAAGCATGGGAGTTTTTGGACTCATAACATCAATAGCTAAGGGAAGCAGCATCTATCAACCAAGGGAAGTCAAGCAACAGCGCATATATGAAAGATACCAACCTTAAGCTTTGAGTAGCCCACTCGCCACCAAACAGGTTCCACAAACTGGAAAAGTCCTGTCAGGTTTAACAGTTCTGGAATCAAAGCACCAAGAGCAGCCAGCATAGCCCAACGTCCATGCAATATTTCATAACTGTGAGTAACCATGACAACTGAAATAAGTTCGAATAGAATTTAATAGAGCTTCTGCGCGGTTTCTGAACAAATAGTTTGTATGAATGTGTGTTTGTTGCTATTTTGAGAATTTCAAAAGATTACACAATGGGATCTCTGAACAACCACGCTGGAAAATGTTCAATCTCTCATCCCAAACATGTCTGGGAGTAGAACAACTTTCATGTCTATGTGTGGCCCTAAACCCTGACCAGATATGAATTTCGCAACTCTTTGCTCTCTTCCCCTCAAATACCAATTTATAACTTTTTTTGGCTACATTTATGCTCAAAAACATGTCTGCTTTTCTTCCAACTAAAAGAGGATGGAATCATGTCACCAATCACCTAATCCTAACTCTCGTGGTTATTTCTCAATAGGTTATCGAAAGCCCTGACTCTGTTCATTTCTTTAGTGGGAAGCTCGTCTTTAAAAGGATACATGTGCTGAAGAAGCATAAAAGGTCACAAATAATTTAATGGCATATGATGTTGCATTATCTACTCAGAACAAAAGAAATTTTGAACGAGTTAATAGAAGCAAAATCCAATCCATACTTAAAGTAGTTTTGAAGGGCCACGGGATCCTTGCTCAACCCGCAGATATCAAATCCATAGTCCCCGGGTAGCTCCCCATTAAGATAAGCCGGATAGTCATAAGAAATTGGACCAAGCCAGCGGGGGCGATCTTCTCCATACCAGATACTGCAAAGAACACAAACAAATGATAATAGTGAAAACAAAAGTGGATATGCATTACTGTATAATGTAGCAAAATTGTGAATGGATTAACATATTGATAGTGGTGGAAAGTAGACGGATGCATTACAGAGGAGAAAACAAGGGGCATGGCTTACCATGTGATAGGGATAGGATGATTACCTATCGTTTCTTGCCATTTGTGCAAGTGCTTTGAACTTTGCAGAATTCTCTACAGCAACCTTCTTTCTCTCTTCCAATCGTTTACGGAGTGTTTCGCCGAAGGTACTGTTGGCAATAGCTTTGACAGCAGTGAAAGGAATCGCTGAGAATACCAGAACGCCGGCAAGCTGAATAAAATTGATTAGTTAAGTTAAGTGGTATCTGATGGCAACCAGAAGAAGCAAAAACACACCTCTTGCCATGAAGCCCTGTGACGCGAAAAAGGATCGAGTGCACTTGCATTGCGATACAACCTTTGGTCTTTAGGGACGGAGGACGATGGATGGGGAAGCTGAAGCAGTGTCATGACTCATGACCACTTGTACAATCTCCTTTGCCCTTTCTTCTTCAGATTCACTACTTTGCGCCAAAAGTTACGACGTGGTTCCTTTCCAGCCTCAAAACCCAAAAGTAATCTCTTCATAAATATACATAGTAACAATTAGAAGAGATTCAAATAGTTTTTAAGTTATCACACTAGGTTATTTAAGTCCAAAATTTTAAAATGTACTAGTACTACTATTTTTTGTTAAGTTGAAAAATGTGATAGTAGTAAATTACTTTTTAAAAAAAAATTATAAGCGGTGTGACTTGAATGGCTAAGAGGAAAACAATCAAATCTTCTCACGTATGTGACTTTCATTTAACAAAAAGCTTGCACATTTGTTTGCCTTCTCCGGGTGGATACAATATCAGCCTTGGTGGCTTTCCGAGGAGGGTGATAATATATGCCCCTATGTGATGTGATGAAACAAACTCCATTCCTTCGCAAGCACTCTTATATATATATATATATATATTGTTGAACACAAGTTACAACTAGAATACGCACAACAAAATAAGAACGCACTGACTAAGGAGAGATTAACATAGAAGAGGTGTTCAAGTTACAACTAGAATACGCACAACAAAATAAGAACGCACTGACTAAGGAGAGATTAACATAGAAGAGGATAACTAGAAGGGGATGAGATACTAGAACACAGAAATGGGATGAGAGATAACTGACAGCCAAAATTTCGACATAACCTTCTTTCTAATCCCTAGACCTTTTTAACGATAACTAACTAGGCCTGAATCCCAAATAAAACCATCCAATATTTTACTGGACCCAATGATATTAACTGAACCCATATACCCTTACAAAGTTATCTTGGTTCACAAGAAGTGATATGCTTGAAAACAAGTTTGCTTCATGTTTTTACCATTGATTTTTGTATATATCTTATTTCTTTTGCTATATATGATTAGTGTTCCAGAGCTTTATAATGAGGCTTGAATTTAACTTCATAGTAGCGTTTGTTCGTCTTTATATGGACATGACATTTGCACTTACCTAATGCTTCATATAGCAGTGAAGACATAATTAATATAACAAACCTGAAATGCTAGTAAGTGGGAGAAGCTTGATACGCAGATGGAGGGTTTTGTACTAGTAATTAACTTTAATCATACTAAATTGGAGAGAAATACATTAGAGGAGTAGAAGTACAACAACAGTGAAATCCGAATAATAATTAATTAATGGTCATAGGTGCGGCACTCGTCGGCGTCAGGGTTATCTTGACAGTAAGGTTCAAGGGGATCTTGATTGAGCTGAAGCTTGATACGCAGATGGGCCTTAGCCTGGCTTACTTCTTCCACCTCATCCCATGCCACCTTGCACTCGTCCGACCTGGCGTCTTCACCGCACACCTCCTTAGCTTCCTTCACTTTCTTCTCTATCATTTCCGTCAGCTGTTTCTCTCTCATCTGCGTCCCCTTATACTTTGGTACTCCTGCTGATCCTGATCCATTCATCAACACCTTTTGCACTCCTTTCCTCGTGGATCCAGTTACACTAGCAACATGGATTGGGAATATTGATGCCTGCTTCAAGTTCAGCGCCATCACAATTAAGCTGGAAATGAGATGAG